GCGGGCAACGGCGCAAACGAGTCGTGCAAAAGGCAACGCACGCAGAGCCGGAAGCACTAAGCAGCCACCCGCGCGACATACGCCGAATGAATAAAAAAAATACGCACGTAAGAAGTTATACTTCTTTAACGTAACAAAAGAAAAGAACTAAAAATTTTATACCCTGTGCCAGCACTCTTTGTAGAAAGGACATTATCGCGCATAGTATAAATTGTAATCTCATTTTTTTTTTCCAAATGCGTCAAAATAAGGATAACTTCAATAAAAAAACGACACTAACAATAGGAAAAAGGTATTTAATACATTGAAAGTTTTATTATAACGCATTATCTAGTTAAATAAAGTTAATTTAAATATCACAAAATAAATATCGTGAATACAGTTGTCAGTTCTCACGCAAACATACGTAAATGTCTAGCTAACTTCAGGTTCAGGGTGTCGGTTTTTCGTGACGGTGCGCGTATTTATCATTTAACGGAATATTATAAGGTTAGTAAAAACTAAAACATATTTACGATTTGTTCGTACTATAGATGTGAAAAGTAGTAGAATTAGGATTATCTGTTTAAAAAATATTTAATCTATAATATCATATTAATCTATATAATCTATTTTACGGTGGTAGGGCCACGCAGCAGCCTCGGCTGTTGCACGAATGGGCAGGCACGTCCGGGTAAGTACCACGACTTCACAGAAGACCTGCGTAAAGTGGAAGTATAATACTTTCGCATTTCGTCTGATGAGTGAGGTGGCCGGAGCCCAATTTTTCAAAAGGTTGTCAACGCATCTGGTACCCTCGGCTGCAACAGATGTCCATGGGCAGCGGTATTCACTTAACATCAGGTGAACCGTCTGCCCTTTGACAACTTTTCACATTAAATCAAAAAAATTCGCAAAAATTATAAAAAGTGAAAAGCCTCTCTCTCCAACGTTTCACATTAAAAAAATATTTAATCCATGATAAAATATATTGTTTAATAATAAGAAACTCATTGATGTCAGCATTTTTTCTTTATGATTGAGTTTACCATCTTTATATATATAATTCTTCTGTACCTGTGTTTGTCACTGAACTCCTAAACGTCTGACTGATTTTAATGAAATTTTGTGTGTGTCAGGTCGATTCTAGAATGGTTTAGATCCACAATTCGGTCCGCTACAATATTTTTTATTTCTAAGTTGTCGAATTTAAGCCGCGTGTACAGGACAACGTCCGTCCGGTCCGCTAGTTTGAATATAAAATTGTACGTTTCTCACAAGATTTGCTACGCACGACCACTTTGTGGAATGATTTGATGCAAGCGATATTTCCGGACCAATATGATTCAGGTACCTTAAAAAACAGGGCCTATTCTACAAAACTCGGCAACGAATTTGTATTTCGTCTCGTGTTGTAAACCTGCACCTATGGACGTTGGTACCCCACTTCTTACCAGGTAATCCGCCTGCCGATTTGGCTCGTTTTCAAAAAAAAAAAAAAACCACTTCACAGATCGCAATCGTAAACTAATCAGCGACGAGGAATTTTAATCAGTCACTTCCTCAGGATATCTATAATTTGTGAAATGCGGCCATAATCTTAATTGAAAACACGCAAACGAAAATACCTCATGACGGAGATGGCTTTTTTAAATGTAAACGTTGTCAGAAGTTGACGCTTTTTTTACGATCGCTCTTTAACGTTCCGTCGACGTGTCACCGAGTGAGCGTTTGTGATGTGCGGCGCCTGAAAAAGATTTTAGAAAGATACGACACAAGTCCGATGAGAGTTTGACGCGCCCCTAGAGATCACGATTGAGGTTCATCGGTTTTGACGCGATGGTTTTTTCGAATCACTTAACTTTTTAAGTAGCCGCTCATGTTGCCGGCAACCCATGAGTGGATTTTTTCACAACGGACGGAATTGTAACGCTAATGGTCTCGTTAACGTGTGCTTCACAGATTTGATTTTTTTTTATGTAAAAAGTTACAAAACGTGCAGACGGTACACCTACAGCACCTACGGGCTTGCAGATACATTGACAACCTTTAAATAAGTGGGCCCCAATTACCTTACTTGACAGGCGAAACCCGAAAGTACAATAGGTAGGTACTCTCACTTCACGCTGGTCTTCTGTGAGGTCATGCCCCGTCATTCGTCCGGGGAAGTACCATGGTACTGCCTATACCTGCAACAGCAAAAGGCTGCGTGCCTACCATTATTATTATTATAATCAATTCGTTGTTTTCACTGTAATTAAGTTCTGAACAAACGGATGGATGAAAGTATGGTTAAGAAAGAAAGAAAAATATTTGTTTGACATACTGTTTGTACACAACAATTATGTAAAACAATAAAAATTAGACAATTAAAAAAACATGAACATAAAACTTCAATATGTATATTTTCCTTTTTCATTATGGTACATCGCGGTTCATGCCAAAAAGGACATCACTCAGCATGATGTTGCAGAGAAACTGAAAAGTTGATTTTCAGTAATGACCATAAGATAGAATACAGTCCCGGGTCAAAAAAAAACAATACATCTCTCTCAACCCGAAAGATTTTCCGACCATTCAGCTTTACTTCTACGACGTTTTAGCAAAACACGACCGTCAGAGCCGATGTGTATAGTACCCTGACAGAACTACTATGCTAAATACGCGACAACTAAATGCGGGGCATGACCTAAATGAGTGGGGAAGGTCACGCGCGACTGAGGCTGCCGCTGACAGCCCTGTCACGTGGTAACCGACACGACGCCGTGTCATGGTGGTCGCCGCTTCCTCTGACAGTTCGCCGAAACACCACCACGCTGTGCAAGGCGGCACGACAGTGTCAAGTTTCGATTTCGTCATAACCGTCGGCGTAAAGACTATACGCACATCTCCTCGCGTAATCTAATTATCTTTCAAATAGACCGCACCGTTTTTGACTTGTCCAAGCTTTTAAGTTGAAAACGCGATTTTATACTCGTACTACTATTTCAATGAATATTGAAGTAATAACGTATTTTTTATAGACTGTCAAATCTGAAAGACACAAAATCATGTGACTGATGGTTTGTCTGATGCCATTGTTCACTAGTATGATTTTTGAACTTAAGTAGAAAAGAAGAAGTCATATGTGCTATGCAATTAGGGGTAGTGTAGATAGTTCAGTGCTGCGATATTCAACCACGTAAAGTACTCCTAGTTTTAGCGTGTATTAGGCTGCTACTGCACTGTGAATAGCGATGGATTGGAAATGCAAGCTTTTAGCCTACCGTTATCATCAGATCCAATCTAAGTACATCAAATGTTACGTTGACGATTAGACCGCAAGAATATTATTTCTGTATATATCGACATCATTTTTTGTATCCGTGCTTATGTAAATTTATAAACTGAAAACATGGTTGTGTGCAAGTTTTATGAAAACACGGGGCCATAGCTGCATTCCATTTTTAAATATTATGAAATCCGTATTAAGATTAAATAAAATAGGTAATAAAACTGGGAATTCGCGCCAACAGATCATAAACGAATTTTGACATACGTTACGGTCAGAATCGATTTCTCGAGCAATCAAAACGCTAACTTCACCGCGTCGTACATCAACAATTCATTGCCGTCTGTTTAAACCTAATAAATCGAATTAAATCGGCGCCCTTCACGCGGCCCGTTGATTTCAAAGAGTGGAAATTTGTCCCGACAATATTTATGGCGGCTGGCGCATGATTCGTGAAGATCAAAGCGACGCATGTCTAGTGCGTCGAATGTACACGCCGGCAGATTATTGAGGACACAGTGCACAGAACACAGTATGCTGTCTTGCTGTAAGACAGTTGAGAGCTTCAAATAATATGATATCAAATTAATAAATAAACTGTGGAGTACAACTTACGGTTTTAAGACCTGTAATATATATAAATGTGACAATAATAAATATGACAACGTCTCATAGGTTTTGAATTTTTTCAATTAAAACTAGACTACTTATTTCAATTTCAAAACACCTATATTAGTTTCTTTATTATTCTTTGCCTTCATTTAAATTTAAATTTAAATCTTTTAGTTTTTCTATTTCTGAGATCTTACCTGAGAAATCTATTAACATTAAAGTCTTATATACGATTAACTTGCAAACTTTAATTGTGAAACATTGCCAAATAAAAGTCTTTATTTTAATATAATTCTATTAATGCGGCTGTCTAAGCCGTAAAGTATAAACAATTACCTAGAAGTTAAAATGATTTTTTTTATGAAGAAACAATTTCTTCATAAATGCATGCACTTCTATATTAGCAGTAATATTCGACCTATGACTTTATTTATTTTTGTCCAGCACTCCCAAATTTCGTATGGTATACGCAAGCAAAATTGCCGCTTCATATGTCGGCTTGAAAACACGGAGGTCGTATTGCTCCTCGGGGAGTCCTTAAAAAAACCACAGCTTGTGTGTTTTGTAAATAATATTTTATTAGCTCGGTCCTTTCGCCGCCTGTGAAGATAAGGAGACCGCAAAACAGAAGCCCTTGTATCCATTTTTTTTGAACAACCCGCCTGTTGCAACTAAACGTCATTGGAACGTGACTATTTTCGTTCATAAATTAAAAAAAAATTACAACGTAATAGGACGACGGCCAGTTTTGCATTGATGCATGCCTTAATCATTCCCAAAAACTAAATATTTAACATTTTATTGAAGTAAACATCTAAATCTATAAATTAATTACTTTTATTACGTTTACAGCTGCTAATTTTTGTACATCAGAAAATCACTTTTTGTTATGTCAATGTCTTTATGTTAATTTGTGTGTGAAAAAATTTATCATCAAAGACATCTACAAAAAAGCAAAGAAAGCGCTACCTTTTTATTTTAATTTTATTGTTTATTAGTATAAAAATATACTATTATGTCAGACGTGGATGAAGGGCCTAGCCCGTGATTAAGAAATAAGTTAAGATTATTACTAAAACTCGTAGTTTTTGCAATTATATATATATTGAGTTATTGATTAAATAATATTTATAGTTTAATCCCATGCACCGGGACAGTTGTAATGCCTGTTGATGCGAAGCCAGTCTTTTTCTGTGATGAACACGCGTTGTCCCATTGTACCCTCGTGCTCCTGGAACACAGTATGTTATTAATAGGTTTGAGGAAAAGGCGATGTAAGTTTAAGTTGTGTTGACATTTTGTAGTAAATCCGAGAAAATCTTGGTAATTTATATTTCTCCAAGTGTTTACAGTTTATTATTTCTTAACCGGCATGAGGAATGTATGCTAAAAAGTTTTTGTCGGTTTTTGTTGAAGATGATCTTGTTTCTTCTTACTTACTTACATTTTTAAAAGTAAATAGATTTGTATTCAATATTATAGTATATAACATAGTATATATAGTAATATATAATTTGTATTCCTGTTTTAAGTAGTTAAGTGTAGATATTTAAGTCTCATAAGTGAATGTAATATTCTTGAGACAATAAAGTTCTTCATAAATCTCATAATATCAAACGTTTGCCTTAAGACTTATTGCGAATTATTCATCACCATCATCATCATTACTTCAGCCTGTTAGATTTCACTGATGAACATAGACCACCCCTACACCCATCGACTTCTCGCACATTTGCACAAGAGTCCATCTAGGGTGGGTCATCCTACACTGCGATGGCCAATACGAGCTATGTGGCCGGCCCATTGCCAATTCAGCTTACAAATCTTCTGAACTATGTCAAATTGCGGAATCTATTACGCAGAGAAATTCCGTGCATAGGTTTCTTATACTTATATATATTGTCATTTTTTATACAAAAAACACCTGCGAGTTTCATAGGTGAAGTAGATAAACAGTTAATGCATACGCTCTCATTGCACCCAATATGTATATAGAGTATAGTAAACTGTTCAATGTTTGAATCCGCGAATCGCCAAATTCGAAATAACTTTAATGCGTGTGATATAAAATCTAGTTTATATATTTCTCTTTAAAATTAAAAAAACAACACAGATACGATTTTAATAAAAGCGTGAATATAAATACCTGTAATGCAATAATGGTCTTCTCCCCGTTGGAGCTGAAGGCATAAGGTCCGTAGTGCAGACAGCTAACGTAGTCGTATTCTATGTCCAGGTTGTCAACAAGGCTCGAGTCGTAGATTGCGAAGTTGTGCTCAGTACCTATCAAACGATATCGAGGTTAGGCTTAAAGCAAAAAGAATTTATGATAATACAAAACATAAATTATAAACGATTTAAAAAAAAATATGAAAAATATGAAGTACCATTGCTTCTGTCGACTCTCTTCCGTATACGATGCCTTGTATTGATTACAGTTTCCTTAAACTTATAGCAGGGTGACATAATATATCAGCGCCTTAATAAGCCTTTGCAAATGCAAAACTGGTGGTTTTATCGTGGTTCAATAGTTAAAGTCGATGTTTGAAGTAATTTTAGTTCTCAAATTGTATACATGCATTCGCACGTTGCCTAATAATAATAAACTACATAAATAAGTACACTATCGGTTCAAGATTCAATCAATATGTCTGTATAGATCTAACCCAAAAGTAATAATTTTAAAAACTAATGGTAGCCCGATTCTCAGTGATATTCGGACGTCTAACGTCACGGTTTCTCCCGTGGCCACGACTGCTAAAAAGTATATTTGAACGGGTAGATGGGGTGAGAAGAAGGAAGTACACATTTCTGACATCAGAAACAACCTTGCAACTCTTTATTGTGTTGCTTTGCTTTAATGCCATTTTTTTTTAAATAAATAGGGTTGGTACTCACCGGGTATCAAGTTCTCTTCTACGATGCGGACATAGTCATCCCTGTTGTGGGTGGACTGCATGTGCAAGAATCCTAAGATGTGCATCCATTCGTGGACGATGGTCGCGTGGCGGAAGCAGCCGACACCGGGGTAGTTGCGAGCCAGGTTCATGATGTGGACTCCACGCGGCTGCCAGTAGCCCACGTGGGCGTAGCACCCGCCGGGCCCACCCTGACCAATTGTAAAAGTGATTAATAAACGGAAAATTGGGACGGACTGAGCTGATTTTATCAAGAACGTTTGTGTGATGGAGGCGATTAAATATTTTTTTTTTTAGTATAACAAGCTCATCATATAAATATTAAGTTTGAAAAACTGAAAAACAACAGAAACATCTTTATTTTGAGCAAATGTGATCTCTTATTCGTATTTTATATTTTTTAATGACTTTTACGCGAATATTTTACATGGTTAAATGAAACTATTTGTGATTTTCTCGCGTTTTAGTTTTTATCATAATTCCGTTATAATAATAGAGAATAATTACGAATGGCACATTAATTGAGCTGGTGTCTGCCGTTTAGAGTACATTGTCATGATTTTATTAATTTTTTGAAATATTTCAAACTAGACTATATACGAATGTCTGGAAGTTGAAAGAATTTTAAAAATGCTTACCGTCAAGTTCACAAACACGGTGTCTTCGGGCTCGCGATAACGGAACTTGATGCACGTGTTCTCTTCAATATCCCTTATTCCTTCTTCGATGGCTGCTTTCTGTAACGGACCTGTAATAGGACATATTCTGCAAATTCTATGTACGATGCAACGTTAAATAAAAATTTGTTAAGAGTGGTAGGGCCACGCAACAGTCTTCAATGTTGCAAGAATGAGCAGGTCCGTCCGGGGAAGTATCACGACCTCACAGAAGATCGGCGTGAACTGTAAGTGTTATACTTCTGCGTTTCTACGTGCGTGAGTGCCACACTTTATTAAAAGGTGGCAACATTTGTATAAACAAAAGTAATGCAAATATATGAACAAGAAACAAATTAAATAGTAACAATCACTATTAAAAATAAACTGATATTAATAAAAAAAGTCTCGACATTTACTTTCATCATTATGATCAGATGGGTTTATATTTACTTTCCTACAATAAAATTGAATTAAATCTGTGATGACTTCTTTATTAATCGATCACACACACATAGGAATGTTGTAATAAATACCGCTTACGACATTGCTTGTCAAAATCTTTTATCATAAAGTTTTAAATTATCATTTAATAATCGCTTAATTTATTTAATCTCATTATTAAGCCCTCAAAATCTAGTTTTTCACTAATCTTATCACCGGCTGGTATTTAAAATTTGTAATAATCAAATTACGTTAGTGTTTTGTGATTGATTTTTATGTTACACGGGATTTAATACCTAGCGACGCTCCGGGTTGCATGGTTATAAAGAAATTGTGATCCCACCATAACACGAGTCTAAATATATGTTTTTTTTTTTAAAACATTGCCCTCACTTTAGGATAACATTATCCTGTATTGTAAGGACGTTTTACAAACATAAATTGCACGAGGACAAACACCCAGATGCGAAACAACTATCTGTGGGTCGCACAAATAGTTGTCCCGTATAGGAATCGAACCCACGACCCCCGACGCCGAAGCCAAAACCTTGGCAAGGGCGCCACGGAGTCATCAGTTTCATCATCGGATTCTAAATAAAGTTGTGATAACACGGATTGAAGCTGGTCGTTTGCAAGTAAAAAGTACGATTTTATGACATTAAAAGGTTAATATATCATGAACTCATTTTAATAAAATATGCTTAACTGTAAACTTTCGAAAGTTAGTTAAGGATGCTGAGTGTCATGTGAACAAAGCATCCAAGAGCACTTAAAATAATTCAAGATTAGTATTTGAACCGTGCTACATTGTCGTACATTACCGTGATCAAAATATATACTGTGTAAATAAGTATTTACCAATGAATGGCATCTTATTAGTAAGAATAACGTTGTGTATTCAACTTGCTTTAGCAAAATTGTGTTTGAATCATTACATTTGATGAAGAATTACGGAAGTAATTCTTCATCAAATGTACCGACATAACACTCTGAGAAATAATATATTGGGATTGATTTATCTACTTTTTATTTATCATAGTTATCTCCAGGATAAGTTTACATGTTAATTAATAACTTAAAGTTATTTTTTATAGTTGTTCCTATTTTGGCTTTAACATTTTAAATCTGCATATATCAGGGGCCGATGATAAAAAAATTATATATGTGTGGGTCAAATTGTGTGTCAATGTCACCCGGATTAATTAATCCATAACGATATACAATAATAATAATCAGTGATTGATGATTTTGATAATTTCCGTTCATAAGGGACTTAATGTGGATACCGATTAAGTTATCTGGACAAAGACTTTTTTATATGAAAAGTTGCATGACGGTCCTTGGGCTTAAGTGAATGCGCCAATGGTAGTGAAGATATTACACCTGATGGGTTGCAATTCGTGCAATTCGTGCAACAACAGTAACTGTTGCGTGTCTTCACTACATAGTATAAAACAAAGTCGCCCCGCTGTCTGTCCCTATGTATGCTTAGATCCTTAAAACTACGGAACGGAATCTTGATGCGGTTTTTTTTACTAAATAGAGTGATTCAAGAGGAAGGTATATATGTATAATACATTGCATCCGTGTGAAGCCGGTGCGGCTCGCTGGTAGTTAATAATATGATAGAATAAACCTTTAATTAGAATGCCTTTAGCAAGAATGCCTTAAAATTAAAATTTGTAGAAAAAGGACGAAAACATTGTCGCCGCTGTGGGAATTAAATCAAATTAATCATAAAGACCATTTATTTATCTGGTAGGATAACCGAAAAATTATTTAAATGTGGAAGGAAATTTAATTTGATAGAAATTCCCCCTAATGTCAGCCTTTTTATATCACATTAGTATTTGCTCAGCAGAGTGAAATTAATTGACCGTAGTTAGGGTATTAGAGTATTATTTGATGACTCCGTGGCGCAGTCGCCAAGGTACCGGCTTCGGCGTCAGGGGTCGTGGGTTCGATTCCCACACGGGACAACTATTTGTGTGGCCCACAGATAGATGTTCCGCATCTGGGTGTTTGTGCGCGTGAAATTTATGTTTGTTAAAACCTTGCATCGTAAACCGTCCTTACAACACAGGATAATGTTATCCCAAAGTAAGGGCAATGTTAAAAAAATCGATTTAAAATCGATTATGTATGTGAAGTCGTCTACCACGCGACCCCGCCGTGGTTTGACAGACTTCAGTTAGAAATGGCCAGTTCTGAAGACTTTCAGTGTCACTCCAGTATTCATTTTCGGAAATTAACGTTATAATGTATTTATCAATGCGTACAATCGACATTTTCACCTTTACCGATGTTGAAAGATTAATTTATTTTTGTAGAAAATAAAAGTTATCATTATTATTTGGCATTCTTTTATTGCGAATTTAGGCGTTCGCATCTCACAAGGCCTAGTTACCCTTATTTATTCTTGAGTCTTATGTCATTACAATAAAGGTATATTACGAAATTAATCACTTCCATGTTTGGCTTTAAAACATACAAAAGGTTTTACTATAGAAAATTATTATTTCCATTACGTTTCTCTACTGTTAAAAAATGATTGTAAGAAAAAAATTAAAATTTCGCTATTCGATTTTCTAGAATTTTATCTAACTTTTTTATCGTTTATATGGTACTTACCGAATTCCCCTTCTCCGAACTGCCAGACAACGGTGTCATTGGGCCACTTGGTGTCGGGCCATGTGTAGGCGTTCCTTCCCATCGCGTACTCCTTCAGCATGGATTCGATGATGAAATCGTCGAGCACTATGTCGCCCTGGTACTTGCCGCTGTTCTCTTCGGGATTGGCAAGCGGCGAAGCCATGGTTCTAGCGATGAACTGCTGGTCATCACCTGGGCAAGAAAAAAAACGTTCCATGTCCAGACAAACAGACGCTCTAGCAGACATTCTAGCCACAAAACTATTTTTAAAGACATGACAGCTATGCTTTCGCAGCTTTATCCTTACTTCCTTACTAATATTATAAAGGCGAAAGTTTGTACGTATGGATGGATGTTTGTTACTCTTTCACGCAAATATTACTGAATGGATTTTAATGAAACTTTACAATAATATAGCTTATACCTCTGAATAAGACATAGGCTATAATTTATATACATATTTTTATGTATAGCTTGTCTTTCTGTCTGAATGTTACGCTTTCAGCCTATTCTACGCAGGCGTCAACAAAAAACTACCACCGGTTCACTAAACTAGACCTGAACGGAGAAGAACCAGCAAGAAGCTCTGCGGTCTTGTTCTTTTTGTTATTTTTTTTATTATGCAATTATACAATGCGGTTACCAATTATACAATACAATAATACCATATTGTACAATATATACAAATAACATAATATTGTATACCGCTGTGTTGTTCGTCTCGCTAGTTTGCTTTGGAATACTTATTCACACTTACTGGTCTTAGTGCTCTCCAAGAAGTGTCTGAAGGCCTGGATCTCCTCCCTGGTCCTCACCACGGCCGGCGTGGCGAACGCCAGACCCACGAAGCACAACAACACTGCCGTCCTAAGCATAATTTTTGTTTGCGCATCTTTCACTAGAGCGTCTCTTATATATTGAAGTTTATCGAAGTTTTATCGATTACGATAAAGCCCGAGCGCTTTTTTAATTACTCTAATCTCCGCTAAACAGGTTCGCTAAAACAAAAGTCCGAGTTGTGTGCAATAAGCAGGTGCTGAATTCGATGGGGACAAAGCGAGCATCTGCGTTTCTGATTTTAAAAGAAACCTATAAGGGATGCAATTTGTTATAGTCTAAAGATGGTTAGAAATATCTTAGTTCTTACGAAATATTGACCATATATAGAGCGTGCCAAGTAGTAAGACGTACATTACTACATTAATACATAAATACGCTTGAAACACATTACTCTCCTGTAGCCGTTTAATCATGATCTGTTTTCTGTTCTGTTTTTATAAATAAACTAGCTGGCGCGCGCAAAATCGTCTGCGAGAAATTTACCGGATCCGTACGTTTCGACTTTTAACATAGTGCCTATCTATTGGATACTTCCTCAACCCAGGAGATAAATTTAACTTACACCGCCATCTGTTCAAATCTTATGAAATTCACAAATAACTATAACTCTTTGTCATTTAATAAACAAATAATTTGCAATAAAATAATAATATTGCTATCCTATCTTTCAAGTTGGATAAAACTGTACACGGTGTGCAAATTTGATTAAAATCGGTTTAGTACTTAAGGAGTCCATTGCGGACAAACAACGTGACACGTAATTCATATACCGCGTGTCGTTACCATCGCGACAATAAATGAACACACGTCTAACGCTACTTGCCAATTATCATAAAAAAATTAACGTTTAACAAAATCCATAATTAAAAAAAATATTTTCCAAACAAACTAATTAAGTAAAAAAGAAATAAAATTTGAAACATCCTATACAACTCGCGCCACAGCGTCGCATTACAAGCCTCTCCTTCTAACAGTATGTTTTGTCTCTTTTAAATTCATTCAACCCATTCATATGCTTTGTGACCTTTACAAATGAACTTTACGTTACGCTTTTATAGGGTGTTCTAAAATTCTTTGTTTTGGAAAATTTTATAACTCTGTAAATATTGATGTTTAAAGAATTTAAATGTTTAATACAACTTTAAAAAGTTATCCCCTATATGTGTGTTCATTTATTGTCGCGATGGTAACGACACGCTGTATAAGGAGGAAGATAAAATTGCCGAAATATTTGGTTCCAACAAGACGTTGCCACCTAACATACTGGAACGTCAGTCACAACGCAAATATTTAATAAAGGGAAGAGGTGATTTAAGTTTTTTGTTTTCTAGTCCACATCCAAAATTTTAGGATATCGTTTAAACTCAATGTAGTGTAACGCAGGCTTTACAAAAAATTAGTAACTGTACAGCTTAGTAAATGTGAATAACGTCAGCTTTCTCTGTGTACAACACAAAAGCGAGACTCTATATCCTTTCTTTTACATGTGAATAATGCTATATTTCAATGACAATGACATGTAAGTTTTTTAAATAACCTCTCACCTGAAGATCTGGTTCGACACAGCTGCCGTACTCGCGGAAGAAGGGAGAGGTTGTATATGTTAAAACAAAAAAAAAAACTTCGAAATTTTTGCTATTATATCTGTATTATAACATTTAGATACAGTTTAATCCCATGCACCAGGGCAGTTGTAGTGCCTGTTGATCCGAAGCCAGTCATTTTCCGTGATGTATAAACGTTGTCCCATTGTACCTTCGTGCTCCTGGAACACAATTTTTTTGCGGTTTAAACAAAGGGCAGTGAAATTGGTGCGGTGTTGACATTTTGTACAAAGCCTGTGTATACCTTGATAACACATAATATGTCTTCGAATTTTTACAGTTTATTATTTATTTTTTTATTATTTTGTCATAAAATTATTAAATTGTAAGTTGTTCAGACTTTGTGTGATATATTACAACTTATTCAATATGTGCGTGGAAAGGATTTAAAGTAAATTTACATATTTAATTCTATTTTAAGAGTATAAACGAAGCAACTCAAACAAGAGGTAATGAAAATTGTGTTTATAAATAAAGACCTGTAACGCTATGATGGTCTTCTCCCCATTGGAACTGAACGCATAAGGACCGTAGTGCAGACAGCTACTGTAGTCGTATTCTATGCCCAGGTTATCAACAAGGCTCGAGTCGTAGATTGCGAAGTTATGCTCGGTACCTGTTAAGCAAGAGCGAGGTTAAGCCGATAGGCAAGGCGCTTTATGCGTTGACAATAAAAAATCTTTTTTTTTTATCAGAAGTCGACAAGCGAGCTGGCGGCTCACCTGATGTTAAGTGATGACCGCCGCCCATTGACATTTTCAACACCCGTGTGGTTGCAGATGCGTTGTTGATGCTTTAATAGAGTGGGCCTACCCGGCTACCTCACTCACCAGACGAAACGCAGAAGTATAATACTTCCACGTCTTCCTTCTGTGTGGTCGTGGTACTTACCCAGACGGACCTGCTCATTAACGGCAAAGACACGTAACACGTAAACCCACCACATCTAAAGATTATAAAAGATTTAAATTCTGAAGTAAAAGAGATACTGGCGATCCGAGACGCTTTAACCACTAAGCTACACGGCTGATTGCCACGCCGACAAAAATCTCAACGAATTTCATCCACTCTTGTTTTTATCGCATTTCAAGGAATTCTTGGCGCATTTCCTGGCATGTCCTTTACAGCACAATTTTTCATCTTAAGTGCAAGGATTAACACTATAAAACAAAATAAAAGTCTAGAAAAGTATGATTTCACGGAAGTAAAAGTTTACAGGTTTGTGATTTGACTGTTGGATAGTTTTATAGAAAGTCCCCTCTCTGGTGTTGCCCTCTTTACCGGTTGCGAACTTATAAACTCCTTCTTGCATGGTGAATCTTCTTTCCAATTGTTAACAATTTTGAGCTAAACTGCCATCTTCTTTTTATAAACTGGGGTACTCACCGGGTATCAAGTTCTCCTCTACGATGCGGACATAGTCGTCCCTGTTGTGGGTGGACTGCATGTGCAAGAAGCCTAAGATGTGCATCCATTCGTGGACGATGGTCGTGTGGCGGAAGCAACCGGACCCAGGGTGGTCGCGCGCCAAGTTCATCGTGTGCACACCGCGCGGCCGCCAGTAGCCCACCTCGGCGTAGCACCCGGCTGGTTCACCCTTATCATTTGAGAGAATGATTACTAAACGGAAAGTAGGACTGATTAGTTTGATGCAGCTCTTTTTTTGCTACCAAGACGCTTTGAAGAGTTAAATTAATACTACACAAACACGTGGATCCCATTCAAAGTAAGCATTTAGAAAACAGAAAAACAATGCAAAATTCTCCGTATATTGCGCAATTGTGCTGTGTTTAACCGACTTCAAAAGAAGGAGGTTCTCGACTCGACTGTTTTTTTTTTTGTTTGTTACCTCAGAACTTTTGACTAAGTGAACCCATTTTTTGATTATTTTTTTATTTGAAAGCTGGTGCTTCTCATGTGGTCCCATATTAATTTCATTGGTATTGGATCTTGGGCTCCGGAGATACTTTGGGAACTCCTGAAAATCAATTATAAAATGAATACAGAGCGAGATATTTGAAGTCGATTTTGTTTTTCGATAGTAAATAAATGGTTATACTTAGTCTGTTATTATAATGGACAGTGACTGCCAATTGGACATTCATCTGAGCTGATGATAATGGTGAAGATTAGGCTATTGTGACGATTATCAATTTATGTAAATAAACATGTCTTATATTGAAAGATTCTGTCACGTATTCATATAAAGAAAGGTTTATCGATATTTTAATCTTTGTATGATCATACTTATTAACAAGTAAAGGAATAAAGCATCTCAAAAATGCTAACCGTGAGATTAACAAAGACGGTGTCTTCGGGCTCGCGGTAACGGAACTTAATGCACGTGTTTTCTTCAATATCCCTTATGCCTTCTTCGATTGCTGCTTCCTGTAATGGACCTGAAAGAAAATAGGGCTTTCAAATAACTAATTCTGTAAATTTTATTTACGATGCAAGCTAAATAAGAAAATATAAACATTTAAGTTTCTATTTCTTAGTAGATTAAAACATAACTACAGACAATCCGATTATTAACGAGATGATTAATTTTTAAAAATTACAGGTAGCAAACCGTGACTCTTCCATATCATTTGCTACTTTTGTGCTATGTCGATTTAGGTTAATAGATATGAAAAGTGAAGTAAACTTTTTTTAATAATTGTACTATGATATATTTATCTCGTATTCCCTATGAAATTATTTTTATTGAATTTTAATAACATGGGGATTTATAGTTCCATTAAGTGTAAATTACGAATTTAAACAAAAACAGCTTTTACATTAATGACACATTCGTTTCATACTTACAATTTTTTCAAGAAAGTTTAACCTTAAAAAATAATTACAACTACGTTTATTATTAACACTTTTCTCTATCGTTTAGTAAAAGTGTCCCTATAGTAGAATTTTATCTTAATTTCGTATGGAAATATTATTAATTTACTCAATGGAGTACAATTGTTACAGTAGTAAAAGAGACTTACTGAATTCCCCCTCTCCAAACTGCCAGACAACAGTATTAGCTGGCCACTTCGTATCGGGCCAGATGTAGGCATTTCTTCCTAGAGCGTACTCCATCAGCATCGATTCGATGATGAAATTGTCGAGGACTATGTCACCCTGGTATTTGCCGCTGTTTTCTTCAGGGTTGGCAAGCGGCGAAGCCATATTCCTTGCGATGAATTGTCGGCCATCACCTGGACATGTGGAAAACGTTCAATTTCGAGCAGAAGTTCTAGAAGACAGCCGAACCTTGACTCATCGGCTTTTTCTATAGAAATAAAGAATGAAATTTAAAGGCATCATTAGTATTAAATACTATAGGTTTCTCAGTCTAGTAATAAATGATATAGTTTAGCAATATTGATTAACAAATAAAATTATATTCGATTTACGATGGATAAATGTAATAATACCAAATTGTGCAATCTGTATAACTTACTAACATATATATTTAACGCGCATATTATTTAACGCGCGCTCATTAAAAGTTATATGTTCCTTTGTTGTATCCTCATTTAAGAATATTTATTCAAACTTACTGGTCATAGTGCTCTCTAAGAAGTGTCTGAAGCTCTGAATCTGCTCTCTGGTCCTCACCACGGCTGGCGTGGCGACAACCAGACCCACGGTGCACAATAACACCGCCGCCCTAAGCATCGTTATTTTTCACGTATCATTTCAAAACAGCGTCTCTTATAACTTTGTGATGTTTAATCGATTCGATAAGGGATGAGTGTTTTCTAAATTACTCTAATCTCGGCTCAACACGGTCGTCCTGATAAAAGACCGTCTTGAGGGCAATACACGTGCTTGAGGTCAGGATGTTTGAAAATCTTTCAAGTAAAATAACAGCAGAGACTACACATATATAAATATACATATACCTGTACTAAGCAAAGGCTCCTCTGAATTTTATTTTATTTTTATTTATTTATACTTTATTGCAACCTTTATATAAAAAGAATTACAAGGGGCGAACTTAATGCCTTTTGCCATTCTCTCCCAGTCAACCCAGGGCGAGATGAGAAATCGTGGTAGGTGCAATTATTACATTAAAATATTTATATGTATTACTATATAATTACTTAAACATACAAACATAAAATATAAAAAACATATATATATATATATATATATATATATATATATATATATATATATATATATATATATATATATATACATACATCTTCACACATAACTATATATAATCATAAAAACCATAGTGGCACTAGGATAACATCAATATTCTAGGTTATAAGGGGTCATTCAGAAATAAATCACGGACCAAACGTTTGAATGATGTCCTATTAGGGGCTCTATGTATGTCATCCAAGCAAGGAAGGAGTTCCAGAGTAGCCTGAACAGTGAAAGAATTACCGAACAGTGAAAGAAACTTTTATTATGTGAAGGGATAGTAATCTTTAGATTAGCCGAGGAACGGAGATCTCTTTCATTGTTCAGCGAGAGGTATTTAAATTTATCTTTAAGATAATACGGAGTAACAGGATCGTTTAAGATCGAGAAAAGAGTAAGGAGAATTCTAGAGCTACGCCTTTGTTCGATTGTTAGCCATTTGAGGCGAGAACGATAGGGAGTAATACGGTCATATTTTCGAAGGTCAAAAATGTATCTAATGCAATTGTCAGCGAGGCGCTCTAGCTTAATCTTCGCCTCTTTATGGACACTACAATTCATTGTACTGTCCATAAAGAGGCCAAGGTTTAAAATAGAGTTGGATTACAGAATACGTTTATTATTGTAGTAGACAACAGGCAGATTTGCGATGTCAATTTTAGCCAACAATCTATTGCTTCCGACAAGCATTGCTTGGCATTTATTTGGGTTAACAGATATTCCATAATGCATCGACCAGTTATGAATGATGCTCAAGTTTGAATTTAATCTAGAAAATGCGTTAGAGAGGTCACCAATATCAGCCTGAAGGTAAATCTGCAAGTCATCCGCATACAGATTCTACGCACAATCAAGACATTATGTGATTGAGTTTACAAAAATTGAGAACATTATGGGAGAAAGAATACCGCCTTGCGGTACGCGAGAGTCCATATTAGCCCATAGTGAGGACTTTTGTCCCACAATAGCCGACTGCTGACGCCTGCGAAGATAGGATGAGAACCAATCCAAAACTGTGGGAGCGAACCTTAGTTGAGCAAGTACGGCGAGGAGGATATCGTGATTAACTGTGTCAAAACCGTTAGAAAAATCAACTAGCACCATCAATATCACTTTCTTATCATCCATACCTAATCTAATATAGTCGGTGATTTTAAGTAAGGCAGTTGTGGTGCTATGTCCAGGACGAAACCCAGACTGATAATCACTAAGTAGGTTATTTTTATGTATGAAACAAGAGGCACTAAGTAGGTTATTTTTATGTATGAAACACAGGCTTCCAAAACCTTAGAAAGGAAAGGTAAAATTGATATGGGGCGAAAGTGATTGGGAAGTACAGGATTAGGAACTTTAGGAAGTGGCCGTACAAATGCTTTTTTCCAAATCAATAGATACTGACCTGTCTCAAGAGAAAAGTTTATAATGTGCTACAGCAAGAGCAGGGAAATCTAACAAGTTTACTATCATAATTCTACTCACATCATCACAGCCCACAGCTCTGGATTTGATTGCCAGAATGGCTTTCTTAGTCTCATCTTCGCTGACTGGAGAAAAATGAAAATCCTGAGAGTGTGGAAGTGGAGTGGAAGCTATATAAGCTATACTATGAGCACTGAATGACATAGTCCATCACGCAACCTCACGGCGGATTTGAATTTATTTATCGAAATATTTTTGTTTATGATTTAGAAAAACATATAGAGGTTTTCCTTCACCGTTGAGTACTTGATATGTCAGCACTCAAAATTGCATTAGTTGTTAGAAAATTTCATTAGTGCACGAGGATGTGTCCAAATACAGTTGCCCGAGGTATATAGAATTAGATTAGAAACGGAGATATCACCACGGGCTTAGTTCTATGACATCTTTACAACTATTTTAATATACAACCAATTGTGAAATTCATTTACCAAGCTAACATCTGAATAACATATGTGGAAAATGTTTTATTCAAATTAAAATGTAAAATTCGTGTACTTCTTAGAAATCTGAATACTTGTTCCAGTTTGAAGAAACAGCTAAAACGCTGCCTTTTTGAATGTTGCCTACGGTCAAGTAAAATAACAGGACTCCGCGCTACGTATATCGACAGTGAAGCATAGTAAGTAAGCCACACCGCTTGTACAAATATGCCTCGCACACACATTTTCATAATAGTAAGCCGATCGCCTTGTATCTTGTATTAACTGATGTTTTTGCTTTCAGTCCCGAGACTATTAAAGCTTCATCTGACGCAGAACCGGTGGGCTAGCCAGAACCCACGGGTTTGGGCCCTCCGATGTGGGTAGGGCCGCGCATGTGCTCATGCGTGCGTTTAACTACGACATGTCATCTAAGGGCCATCGAAGTTGCGGTGCGGACCAAGACCCCGATGGCCGTCGACTGTGTTTTTAGCTAATCGGTGGCTGGGGGCGGTGAGAACCGCCCTGGAACGCGGGTGTACCTTGTGTACGCATTGTGTTGGTCTCGCCGTGCTTGGAGGCGAGGGCGAACTATTGTGTTTGTTGTTACACTAGCTGTGGGTGTAGTGTTATCCGGCGGGACCCCCGGCGGTGGGTCCGGCGTATCTAAGTCCCCTTCCTCGACCGGGTCGATGAGGACGTTTCGCGGGCGACGCTTGTTAACGTTCGCGTTTGTGTCGGGTTGGTAATTTGCTACGCTTACCACCAGAGGGTTGGGATGATGTTCGGCTCTATCGAAGAACCGTTTTGTCAAATCTTTAAAGTATTCGCGAATCGTCGGGAGTCTGCAATCGCTGTGCAGATCGACGTTGCGTTGGTACCACTGCGCACCGGTTGCACAGCGGATGAACTTATTTTGTACTATTTGCAGCTTGTACAAGCGAGTAGGGTGCGTGTGGGCGAAGATCATGCATGCGTAGGACATAATAGGTCGTACACAGGTCTTATATAATAATAATTTGTGCCTTAACGGCATTTTACTGTTAGCGTTAGTTAAATTGTGTAGCCGGCCGGAGACGAACGCGGCTCTATTACGAACGTTATTAATGTGCGTAGTAAATGACATACGCGAGTCGAATGTGACTCCTAAGTATTTGACCTTTTTCTCCCAGGGGAGCGGTTGGCCATAAAGGGATATTTGCCCCAACTTTCTGCATTGGCGAGGGCCATTATAAAGATGTGACGGGTAAGTACTTCGTGTGAAGTGAATCGCCACATTCTTTTCGGGATTTATTTCTATTCTCCATTTGCGGAACCAATCGCCGAGGCGGTCGGCGGCGCTTTGGAGTCTAGTGGTTAGTATTCTAAGGTTGCGGTCTGAATAAAAGAGCGCGGTGTCATCCGCGAAAAGCGCGAGATTGACGTGGGGGTCTTTGGGTATGTCGCTCGTGTAGAGCGTAAAGAGCAAAGGTGAGAGGCAGGAGCCTTGTGGTACGCCGGCCGTGAGGCGGCGGCTTGTGGAGAGGGTGCCCTCGACTAGATACCGAAAAGAGCGATTCAACAAAAAGGCCCGGATGTGTGTTTACGAGCCTATCTGGTACTTTGAGAGTGTACAGCTTGTAAAGCAAGCCGTTGTGCCAGACTTTGTCGAATGCTTTTGCGACATCGAAGAAAAGAGCCCCTGTACTTATATGTTTCGGGTGGTTTAGGCCTTTTAGGATGTGCTCCGTTAGGCGGTATAACTGATCGGGACAAGAGTGTCTAGCTCGAAAGCCGAATTGTTCCGTCGGCAGAAGGCCGTTGGAAAATACGTGCTCTTTGAGCCTGTTTAACAAGAGCCGCTCGTAGAGCTTCCCCAGGCAACTGAGGAGGCTGATGGGACGATAGCTAGAGGGCTGATTAGCTGGTTTATTCGGTTTGCGAATGCCGATAACCGTAGCTTGTTTCCAGTCGTCCGGAAAGGAGCAACTGGAGAGTAGAGTGTTGAAAATGGTTGCCAGTAAACAGATAAGCGGCCCAGGGAGAGCTTTGAGAATTTTATTACTTATATTATCCGGGGCCGGGGCGGATTTCGGTTTTAAATTTTTAATAATAACCCTCTTCGGGGGTCACTGAATTTAAAGGTTCGCCTTCCGGTGGAAGCGCAGCCCTAGTCTCGATTACGCGGTCCACCTCCGTTAGGTGGACTGTATCGGTGTGTTCGCGCGATGGCGTACATTGCTGCTCTAGGTTGTCCGCAAGGCATTCGGCTTTTTCGAAGTCATCTAGGGCTACTGAAGCGCTATTAGGTCGAACTAACGGCGGTAGAGATTCGCGGGGGTCTGCTTTCAGACTGCGGGCCAACCGCCAGTAGGCGGTGTGCGATGGCTCGATGTCCTCTAGGAGAGTGTCCCACGTTTTATGTCGGTGTTCCGATACACGATCTTTGACTTCTAGCTGAAGGCGTCGAAGTAGAGTTCGGTTCGATTCCGATCGGTATCGGTCGAAGGCGCATTTGGCTGCATTTTTCTGTCTAATTAGCAGTCTTAAGTCGGGTGGAAAGTTAAACCGTCGGTCGCCCGACAGTTTCACCGTCCGTTCCGAGTCTGTGACTGCGGAAGTAATAGTTTCTCGGAGACTCGCTATCGCTCGATTTGCCTCATCGAACGTAGCTATCGTCTCGGGTAAGTCTACTAAGTCCTGGGGGTCCAAGGCCTTGAGTTTGACCTCAAGACGATGCCAGTCCACTACGGATTTGGTCGGAGGGACCGCGCTGGCGTTCTGGCCCAGTTTACACAGGACGGGCCTGTGGTCTGAGTCTAGTTCATGGATTGTCTCTATCGACTCGATGTCGAGCGAGACATCCCTGAATAACATGATGTCTAGGACACTCGGTGACGCGTGTTGGTAGTTGTCCACCGTAGGATACCTAGTGGGAGTCGCGGGAGCGACTATGCTAAAGTTTAGGTTATCGGATAAGCTAAAGAGATGCTTTCTGTTGTTATTTGGGATGCTGTTGGTGTCCCATGAGCCGTGTTTGCAGTTTAGATCTCCTGCAATTATCACGGAAGGGCCTAAGTTAAGTAGCGTATCTAGGTCGCTTTGAGGTAAGGTTCTATTCCCCGAGAGGTAGGCTGAGACTAGTACAAGCGGCCTGTGGCCGGTGAGCGCTAACCTACACGCGGATGCCTCTATTTGACTTAGCTCTGGAATGTCGAGCGGGCAACAGTGCAAAGACCGTTTATAATAAATTAATGTGCCTCCCACACGGTTTGCTAACCGGTCGTGGCGGACAATGTTGTAATTTGTGATTCTGGGATCACGTACCTAGTGTACGTGATCCCAGAATCAGAAGATCCCAGTTTCAAGAATGTCTCTTGTACTAGAAAAATATCTACGTTATGATCGCGAAGGAATTCCGCGATTTCGTCCCTTTGACGTATCCCTGAGTGCGGATGTCGACCTTAGCCCTATCGACATCCGATTCTTTCGGGACGCCCTTGATTACAACCCGAAGTTTTCTTTCTTCGGGCAAGGAGTAGGTGTGGAAACCTATCTTGTTTTCACGCAAGTACTTAGTTACGCGGCGGATGTCGTCCGTAGTGTCAAGGTATACGCGGATACCCAAATGCGTGTTTTTCGACCGGGGGTCGCGGATATTGTGGCGTTCAAACCACGAACAAATTTGGTGCCACTTAGCCTTCTCCTGAATGATGATGGGTGGAGGAGGCTTTATTTTTCGCTCAGAGGCGAATTCGGGCATCGGCTTAGCCGCGGCGGCCGCCTTTTTAGCGGCGTCGCGGTGGGACGGATCGTTGAGGCGGCCTCGCAATCGGGGTCGCTGTCGGTAGCGGGGCGTTTCTTGCCCTTTTTACGCGATTTAACGACGGTGAAGCCGTCGGCGTTCGCGTTTTCAGCGGGGGTCGTTTCGACCTCCATGTCCGATCCACCGTCCGATTGTGAGTCGGGTACGACGGAGCGAAAAGAGGTCGGGTTTGGTTGCGCGGAAGGCGCTACGGGTGAGTTCGCGTTAGCGGATGCCGACGCGACGGGGGCTTCTAAGGTCGCGGAGGGCGACGGGGTAACGGGCGCAGACGGCGCGGGCAATGGCGGCGACGCGAGTTCAGCTACTTGCCTATGCTCGGCTGCATAGGCAAGAAAACGTTCCCACATATCGGGGCATTCCTTGCGTACGAACTCCTCGAAAAGGGAGCCCATCGCGGCGTAAGTACCTTTGGGGCTTGTAGCCCCGCCGGCGTGTGTGAGCTAAATAAGCCTCCCCACCTTGCGGCAGGGAGGTGTGTGCCTAAAAATTACAACTAATTTGCCAGCGCTTTAGGTGCGCTAGGGTGGGTATCTAGCTGTCGCCTATTGCAACAAGCACACAGTTAATAAATGAAACAATGCTGCCTCTGAGGCGAGAAGTGTGTGTAGGATTCTACTTACAAAACAGGAACCTGCCTACGAGCACAACACTCCACTAACACTAAACTACTGCACTATTTGCACAAGATTGAAATTGCAACCGAGGTTGCGAGTGGCGTCTAATTCGGGTGGCATGTGCCCCCCGTCTTAGAGAGACGTCCGTTCCGTACGAGAGCACGAAGCGGAATCGAAGCCGATCGCCCGCCATTGCTCGCTATGCTCGATAAGTTAAAAAAACTTTAACTTGGTAAGTAAGAGTTTTTTTAATTTATCGAGTGAGTGTTGTACCTACGATACCGGTTTGTTGAATCGTATTTTTATGTTTATTTGACGATTAGCTTGATTTTAAAAATTAAAGATTAATTAATGTAATGTGATGGTAAGTTATTGTGTATTGCACTGGAAAAAAAAAACTCATGCATATGCATAAATTCAATTATTTAAAGATGGAATGTGTCTTCTGGGTCACATTACTGATATATTTATTATAGAAGTAGGTGGCGAGTCTGATGAATCAGAATATTTTTCAGACCTATACCTGTAATGAATTAAGTCATTAAAAATGTATGTTTCATATTATATACCTTATTACTTTTAAATAAGTACCTAGACATTTTCGGGACAATTTATTATAAATAAACGATATTTGATATTTTACTAACGTCAATTTCCGATAGTGGCACATCACTATTTAAGAAATTTAAAAAACTACCATCCCACGTAATGTCAATTTTTTATCAGTGATAAAAAAACATATACCTAAATAAAAAATGGCGGTATAACTAATAATGAGTAATCTATGTGGAAAAATCTTCAAGACGTAAAACTATAATAATACCTAAGAGAAAAAAAACACGTACAAATGTGTTCTATGTATTTAAAATTTATATTCCCTAAATTGTAATTCTGAAAATTTCATAGAGATAAAGTTTAAATCAAAATCATGAATGATTATGTAGACGTACGTAGGTGCGTATTTTAACTTCACGTGTAAACAACTAAACGTGTTTCAAATCTACTTCAAAAAAATTGTATGCTGTAACTCAAAAAAAGGGAAGAACCTTTCAAATAAAATATAAGGTTTTACAAGCTACGCATAAATAAAAAATAGAAAAGGCTACTACAAATACTTTTGAATTCATGTTCCTACGATTGATAATATCAATAATAAAATAAATTATAATTTATGATCTATATTTACCTACCCAAAAAAGTAAGTAGAATTCTTAACCTTAACCATAAATTTAAAATGTTTATTTAATTAAAAACTAAAAGAAATGCCTATAAGTATGCTAAATTCTAAACTAAAATAAATCTTTCTTCGTAATTCAGCTCCAAACATTTGGACGTAATATAGACGTTTAAGAGGTAGAACGAAAATATTGATTTAGTTAGGTATTGATTTAAGATTAATATAGTTGTTACAAAATCCACTTAAATAGCTTGATTACGTAAAACCTTGAAGATATAAAAATTGCAAGTCGTACAAAACAAAATAAAATTATCTTTGATATCGAAATTTTATATTCTAATTAGTTTTTTATCGACTTTAATTTCTTTTCTGAAACTCTTTTTGATTGCGTTGTAATGACTAATCTAAAAACCATCAGCTCCCGTACATCGTAATACTCGAAAATGTTACAGAACAGATGGTTCTAAGCATCGACGAGATTGAGTGGCTTTAACGCAATACTATCCTCCAGACCCAAAGGTGTTAGTATAAAACCTAAGTAACAAGCAAAAATTATAAAATGTAGCACGAAACCCGACTGTATTAAAATACTAAGTATTCTTCTATTTCTTTTTCATGGACACCATCTTGGAAAAATAAAAAATAATACTAAAAGTTAGATAACAGAAGCTTTTTGAGGGTCGGTGTGTGCGCGCATCGTATAAAATAAATTCTATTCTTACGTTCTCTACGTTAAAATTAAAAGTTGGAAAAAAGTTACGCAAAGGTAACATATAAGGTAACATCATATGATAAAATAATTCGGATACCTTCTATTAATTTCACACTTCATAAAATGTTAATATTCATTATTATTATATCATGGTTTACAACCTTTGCGTAACGTTTTTCAAACTTATAATTTTAATGGTCACTATACAACATGAGTTGTAATGCCATAGAAGAGTGATCATAATAGTTTAAACTTTTGATTAGAGGACAAAAATACGAAATTATTTTCTTATGTATTTATTAGATAACAAGATGGCAAACGTGTTCATGGAGCACACTAACGAATTGATATATCGTTCTGTTTATGTTTAATTACAACACATAAATTTAGTAAAGAAGAAGGGATTTCAGTTATTCGTATATGTATCTTCTGGTGTATTATCGACCACGTTCACTTTCTCCTCAGCTAATATTTGAGTCTCATCATCACTCTTCGACCAGGCACCTGGGCAGTTGTAGTGTCTTCTGACCCTGAGCCAGTCGTAGAAGGTAATGTAGTCTTGCTGGCCCATCACGCCTTCGAAGCTCTGCAAACGACATCAAATTTGACGAAACCTTGCTCGATACGATATCGAATTAATTGTTTTTATTTCGTGAGAATAAGGCATTGCTTATAGCATATTTTGCATTCGGATTCCGAGTGAAATTTTTAACGTAGAAATTTCATGTATATGTTAGTTTCTCAGCTTTTCAGCTTTTCAGCTTTTCTCCCAATTTATTTCAAAATAATGATACGTATTTCTTACTAAAACGTTTTTTGATTGATATTCCGAAAGAAACCCAAAAATTTTTCAGGACCTAAGTAGGAGGAAATAAGTAATAATGCTTCAATAGTTTTTTAATTAATTTGCAGATTCTTTTACAGTTTCTTCTTTCTCGTGTCATTTGATATTTTTGGCATGATATACCACTGATGACCTTGGATCAACACGATTTACAGATCTGCCGGCCTTGGCCTTGAGGTGGCAGGGCGCTTGGGCGCCTAGCTAGCCTCGGCGTATTATTATTACGCGTTATGGTGACTCACCGGCGAGTGCGGTGTGTTTTATTGTGTTTACGTAACTGTTTGATCCTGTCGATGGCGATAGTTGTCCCATCGTCAGGGAAGTCGAGAACGTGTCGCGGTCTACGCCAACAACGGCGGAACATACCTAACGGTCTGTAGGGGACTGCACCTACGACTAGCGGATTGGGTGTCATTTGAATCATGATGTTACTCGTACTGGTAGTGATTTTTAAATTCCCAACGTTTCGAACTTCTTCTAACGTCATGAACGTCACGAGACAGACAGAAAGAAAATGCATTCTAAACCAGGTTATTTCTTTGCACCTCCAGAATAAAATTCACATATACATATGGTAAGGACGATATCACTTACGCGTAGTGCAACTATGGTGGGACGGCCGTTAATGGAGAAGAAGTAAGGCCCGTAGTGCATACAGCTGGTGTATTCGTAGGGTAGGCCGAGGTTCTGGACGATGTTCGTTTCGTAACGCTCGAAGTTGTGCTCCATGCCTGGTTAGATAAGAATTTTATGAGCAACACTGGCAAACGAGTAGACAAGACCAATGTTATGTTACCACTGTCCGAGAATTTTATGAGCAAAAATGGCAAATGAGCAGACAAGAGTCAACCAATCAGCTACCACTGTCCGACCGCCTTTTCATCTATTACTTGGAATTTACATTCGAGGCTGGTATTTCGCCTTATTACTTTAGTATTAAATGCTATATTTATGACGTTTTTGAAGCAAACAAACAAAAATAACTAACCTAAATGGCAAGAGATTGAAATGTATTTCATGTTTTGTTAATACAACCCACTTTAAATTGCCCGTATTTTTGGGGGTTGATGAAAAAAAAACGTAAACAGCGCAAAATTATTCTATTTGTTTCTCATAATCTTCTGTAAGCTTATTTTCTCGCCCAGCACATAACTTTAACTTTTGCAACGCGTAACAGAAACTTATTATATTATTGGCGGCCAGTCTTACTACTCAATTCCAGACCAATAGACCACATACCTCTCTCTATGTTCTCCCAATTGATCCGAACGTAATCATCGCGGTTGTATGTGGACTGCATGTGGAAGAAGCCGATGATGTGGAGCCACTCGTGCACGATGACCGTGTGATGGTAACAGCCTTCCGCCAGATTTAAAATATGCGGACCCCTGCTGAACCAGTAGCCGACATTCGCGTAGCAGCCGTCGGGGGCGCTCTAGAGTGGTATATACAAATTGAGTTACGTCTCAGATAAATTTCTGTTTCGGTTTTTAGTCGATTTTCAAGAACAGACAATATAACAAAACAAAAGCGAGTTGGACTCGCGCACGAAGGATTTCGTACCATTGATGTGCTCGTGGCGCAGTTGCCAAGGTATTGGCTTCGGCGTCGGGGGTCGTAAGTTTGATTCTCACACGGGACAACTATTTGTGCGACCCACAGATAGTTGTTTCGCATCTGTGTGTTTGGCCACGTGAAATTTATGTTTGTAAAAACGTCCTTACAACACAGGATAATGTTATCCTAAAGTGAGGGCAATTTTTTTCTTTAAAAATATTATCGTAAATAAACCGGTCAAGTGCGAGTCGAACTCGTACGCCGATTTTAGGTAGTCAATTATTTTTATACCCCTACTAGGTGTATAAAAATAATTGACCAACCTTGACTCAACACGATAAAATATGGGCAAATTTAGATTATCGCGAAAACCAGAAAGTACTAAAATTTACCTCAATTTTCAGCTTTTTTCTAGTTTTCGTAATTTTTTCCTTTAATTGTGCTGTAAGACTCTTTTTATAGACCGAATAGGGAGTGTATACGCTATAAATAAAAAACTTGCTAATTCCACGCGTTCCTGAGAAAATCATTGGTGACACACGGACAGACAGATGGACAAGATAACGATTTTATAAGGGTTCCTTTTTTACCTTTTATCATACGGAACCCTAAAATAGACAAAAAAATAATTTCTGTTGTATGGGAGTCCCACTTATATATTTTAGTAGTTTTTTATAGTTTTTATAGCGGTAACAGAAATACATCATCTGTGAAAATTTCAACTGTCTAGACCAGTGATTCTCAACCTTTTTTTCGTTGCGGCACATATTAAACGATTTCAAAATTTGGCGGCACACAAAGAAAAAGATAAAAATTATTTACTTACTACAACACACTGCATAAATAGTTTATGACAAAAATTTTAAATATACGAAATAAACTAATATATATTACAATAATAACTAAACGTTTATTAAGGGATTAATTACAAGCTCATAATAAGAATATTTTTAATGCGAAATTTGAGCTTGATGTTTTTTGATAATTTCATTTATATTTGGTCGTAAAAATGACAATGCTACTCTCATATCGTCTTCTACATTTAACAATCTTGATCTTTTTTTAGTTTTTAATGTTGGCTAATGCCAAAAAATATTTTTCTTTTTAAATGATATAATTTAATAATATTAACATTATTATATATTTGCAAAATTTGTCGGCACACTTTTGAAATTTGGCGGCACACAAAAGTGCCGCGGCACAGTGGTTGAGAACACTGGTCTAGACAGTTGGCGTGACACGGACAGACAGACGTACAGACAGAAAACAGCAGTCTTAATAATATGGTCCCGTTTCAACCTTTGGGTTCGGAACCCTAAATATTGTTATTTAGGGTTCCGAATTGTAATAAGTCCACGTTTCTGTAGGTAAACTATTGTTAAGTACATGAAACTGTAGGTACGCCGTAAGCAAATTATCGTAAGGTCGTTATTAAATTGATAAAATTACATTCGTAATCGGCATTTCTTAAATTCATAATAACATTGATTGGAATTGTTCAAAGATTCGGCATGAACTATACAGTTGCTGCTGTAAGCTAAGATCTTTATAGGATGTATTGATTATAACTAGATTATATAAAGCTAGCATTACTCGGCATGCTCTGCAATAAGACCTACAAGGAGTTTTGTAAAAGATAGTTTTTGCATAGAGGAAAAACATACATCTAAATTCTCTTCTATATTTTGAATCCAGATACTTCGTGGCGTACGCAGAACAAATTACAACAAAGTTTTGTCGCCATCTGATGACGTGTATACTGTATAGTCATCTGCCACATTTTATCAATGGTTTTTCTTCGTTACCGTTATTTTTTCTCGTGATTGTTCATACTTAAAATTAACTAGTGGACCTAGATTCGTCAATTTTGAACAATTTTAATCTATTCTCAAATACAATACACAATAAACAAAGTAAAATTATATGCGTGTGCATGTCAAATACGTGGTAGGGTGCGTAATGTTTTGTATATTGATTTAATGTATTTTCATAGAATATATATATATATATATATAACGGCCTCTAACTGAGCATTACCAATCGCCCTTTAACTATGGCCAGACTTTGTGCGAGAGAAATAAAGCGTTTTAATTAAATTTCATTTTCTTGACCCAGAATACGCGAATACATCTTACCGTAATTCTGACATAGTTGAACTCTCCGGCATGCCTCACTCGGAACCTGACACATGTGTTTCTCTCGATGTCCCTTATGGCCACCATAACAGCTTCCTGCTGCCTGTCATCTGGTTTTGACAGCGACACGATATTCATTCAATACTCAAACATGTACATAGTAGTAGTAAACAGTTTTTATATCGTATGTACCGTATATGTAAGCGTTATTGTGAACAGTTCTTATGTTTTGAGGTTACGGTTTAAGGTGTCACATAGCATTTATTCATAAGTAAAGTTGAGTCGATAGCAAACCGACTTGTAAATAAGTCTGGTCAAACTATACTGAAAATAGTTCCCTTACAAAGATTCCAAGCTTTATTTTTTTTTTTTTCATTACAAATATTCAAGATAATGCTTTTAAAGTATCTTGAACAGGAGCAAACACAAAGAACGTCTTCATCAGACCACCATCTATAAATAAGACAAAGTGGCTTGTATTTAGAAAGATTTGCAATCAACACCCGTAACAAAGAAAGACAACACAGCAACTGCACAAAGACAGACAGAATGGCAGACGCTAAAGGACTGTCAAGAGGGCCATATATTTTCTTAAAGACAGGCACCGTATCTACAAATATTGTTGCTGATCTAACAACTCTTGGCGTGTTGCCTGGCGGTTATCAATAAGGTGATTTGTTTAAAATGACGATGCCTCTATACACTATAAGTTCTTTACTCACTCAGTTGACCAGGTGCGAATTCGTAAACAACTGTGTTTCTGGGCCACTTGGAGTTTGGCCAGGTGTAAGCGTTCCTTCCAGCCGCGTACTCCTGCACCATCCCCTCGATTTGCCAGTCGTCCAGCACGATGTCCCCCTCGAACTTGCCGCTATTCTCCCAAGCGCTGGCCAGCGGGTTGGCGAGCATGCGCTCCGAGAGGCGGAAGCCATTCCCTGGAAGAGCGTGTTCCTATTTTGAATTCTTGAATTTCTACAGAATTCGTTTTCGAAGTCTTATTAAAAATGGACTATACTATTTTATATTATAAGTAAAATTAAATGAAATCGTTGATCCCTTATTTTAATCCATATACTTAATATTATAAACCTTTCCATGAAATTTTAGTGCAGGGCGTTGTTGCGTGGTGATGTTAAGAATCATTAAATTCAGTGCCGGATTAAGAAGGCGCGGGGCCCGTAGCAAAGTATTTCAAAAGATCCCTTGATTTGCTATGGGTTCTTAAGTATAAAGTTGCAAAAAAATCAATTTAATATTCTTACTTAATTAATAAGTTTGACTCAAAAAATTACTCTCAGGCAAGGATGAGAGGGTTTAAATATGCGGGGCCCACTTTCGCGCACGTGCTACGTGGTTAATCCGATACTGATTAAATTGTATTTTAAAAACCACTGAGTTTTATCGGTAGAACGTATATCTCAAACGTGCATATAATATCTATTACACACATTAACTATGTAGATACGTATTATTAATCTGTTCTATTTTAAAGTATCTTACTCAGTTATATTTTAGTGTGTAATTTAGAACCAGTTTACATGTAATCTGGTATAAATCATCGATCAAGCTGTAAGAATATGAGAGCCGCATGATCCATTTTTATAAATCCTAAAATAACTTGTATATTTGGGACCAATCCAACTGATAACTGAATCAATGTTATTGCTACTTACTTTATGGCAACAAATTAACGTTGTCTTCGGCTGTAAACTAGAGATAATATGTATGGTAATAACCTGTGCGGCTTTTCTCCAGGAAACTTCTAAACGCTTCAATGTCCACCCTCGACCTTGAGGCCGACGGTCCACTAACCGCTAAGCTCACGAAACCCAGCAGCAAACCAAGTTTTAACATTTTTTTTTTTTAATTTGCTCCACTCACGACTGCTTTTGCATTTATATACGCAACTGGTACGATAAACGCTCCCGATTATTTATTTAATGTTAATCAATTTAATTGATAACCGTGATTGTTTTCAATATATAAGATACGGATGTGATAAAATAAAAGGTGGAAAGAGTTGATCTATACGTATGTGATTTCGGAATAAATATTTTTTCTTCAACCCCTTCGGTAGTTTGAAAACAATCACGCATATTGAAAATATTTGCTTGTCAGCATGTTCGTTTGTGTTGTGTCAGAAATTGTCACATAATAATTTGGACTATTTAATCTCTTATCGCTTTTATATATTTACATATATACATTTTATCACAAAATTCGAAGATTCAGCAAAGGTATAGCCAATATTACGAGTAGTCCTTGTTGATTACGTTTACTGATTTTAAATAATACACAGGGAGGCTTTTCTAAGAGTATCCATTTTTTAATTAAATTCTAGACATAAATAATGTTATACAAAAAATGATAAATATTTAAAATCACTCATAAATAATTAAACAGATTCATTTGAACTTATCTCAAAAAGTGCGTGATTTATGGGCAACCCATTTATTTTATTCGCGATCATTCATAAATAACATGCACGTTTCAAAAATATACGAGGCATTTATGAATGACTATCGCATTGTCAACAAGTTGTTTTTTTAGGGAATGGAAGACAATTTTAAAAAAAAAAATAAGTTTGTTTTTATTTCAATAAACGATTATACTACCGAGTTTGAACCTCCTGTGTAAATTTGGGCACCTTTAGAAAAGCCAATATTGTACCGTATATGATGCTATAAATTCTTAATTTTATTCTTGGATATAATATTTCAATTTCATAGTTTTTTTTTTAAGGTTTTGCTTCTTTTTAAATACTTTAAAGTATATTTCAAATCACTTTAAAAATGTCGTTTTTCATTTATAAAGTGTCCAATTCAATATTGCGACAGATATTTGTTAATTCCGAGTAATGATTTATAGGTCACAGAGTTATACGTTAGTTTTTATTAGTGAGTAAGAATAATACATTGACATACTACATTTCTGGCGTGAACACGTCTCATTAGAGATGCTTCGGTAGCGCCTGCGGCGCTGCGTGCCGCAATTATATGCTCTTGTCAACAATACAACTAAAAAGTAATTTTGATATTAGTATAGGTTGGAATAGATATTAAAATGGGAAGCTTTTTATAGCTTATTTGAAACTTATCGAATATTCAAAACATACTTGCGATTATACACTAATTAATCAATAAATAAAAATTTATCCAAATTGTTTTTGATTTTATGTTTCCGGTCTCTAATAAAGTCTCTTTTAATTAACTAGAAGCGATTCTAATTGTGAAAATCTAGCCATCATTTTCTCTGAAACGGCCCTTTCTTGCTCCGTACATACAATAAACGCACGATGACAAGCAGTACTTAATAAAAAATTGAAGAATAAGAAAGAAAGGTTTGTTTTTTTTTTTTTCAAATTGTGTATTTTGGAAATTACATTTAGATACAAATTATTGAGTAATGACATATGCATAATACTTTTCGATCTTACCGACGTAATAATAACGAAATATGAACGGGTGTTTTTCACAAAAGAAAGAACTTTAAAAAAAGGAAAAAAATAACAAAATCATCTGGATCGACAAAAAATAAAAAATGAAGAAAGCAATGATCTGGAATCGAAAAAAAAGTAAGTGTGTAAATGATAGTGACACGAACCACGGCCTTCTGTTTCGTGGCTGTTTGTTAGCCGCCGCCCGATTACCGACCGAGCTATTATAAATTCACCGTCGTATTCGAATGATATTTTTCATTCCCTGAAAACTGGGATAAAACGACATTTTCCAAAAATGAAACCTAGCCAGATCGATTTTTCGCCCCCGAATCTACGCACATACTACATTTCATTAAAATCGCTGGAGCCGGTTCCGAGATTCCAATTATATATATATATAAATATATATATATATATATATATATATATATATATATATATATATATATATATATATATATATAATTATATATAGTCCTTATATATATATATAGTCCTTTTCCATAACTTGTTTGATCCAGCAAAATTAAAAGAGTACTTTGTTGATCCACCTTTGTATCCAAATTTCTTTGCCCTTAAGCTTTATTTTAAAGGCCGGAAAGCATATATTTGAACAGCGTATTGTGTTGATTAGACATATTTCTAAATTCAGCAATATACTCTAACCGTTGTTTTATACTTTTCCAAAGTATTTGTGGCTCCGCGTAACGGTTTTTTTTCAGGCACTTTTTAAACATTTCTTGATCCCTGTGAGCGCGCATACGCAGCTCGACGTCAGTGTTCGTAAAATTAATTCCACGGTGTTTGTAATAAGAACTGAATTTCTATGTACATTTTCTATTGAGTAAACTGTTACTATATGTCGAATATAATAACGTAGATAAATATAATTGACAAAGAGATGGTTATACCCTATTTCTTATTAATTAGTTTACCATAGGATGCTAGTGAATAAATATTTTTAATATTGTAGATATTATCGCTTGATATTAATGTTTCCTTGGGACATTATCAAAATAACTACTTACTATAAAGTGTATAGTTTTGTTTTTATGCTTGTTAGCACATGCAGCCTGTATTAATTCGATTGAGGTGAAGCCCAAAATGCTGTACTCCTAAGTAGGCATCCAAATATTATCCCGAGTTGATTTCAGCAACTGGCGCGGCGGCGAACTATGAGCTCAAAGAATATCATACATTTAATAAAAATTTAACTGATTGTTGTTTGTACATGGAAGATATTTGAGAAAAACTATTATTAGGAGCCTTTATCAACGCAGTAGAACCATGATAGTTAAAATTATTGTCCGTTTATCTGTTTGTCTGTGTGCGCTAACTTGGCTAAAACGGCCTTTCCGATTTCAGTGCAACTTTTACATGCATTGTAGTAAGCTTCTCTTAACATTTATTGTTAGTTTTATTGAAGTCGGATGATAAATAAAATAGTTATATCAACTTAAAGAACCACATTGTAGATTTGTGCGATCAAACTAGTCAACTATGGTCTGTAAAATGATGGTTTATATAAAGTTAAAAAAAATCGCCCAAGTGCGAGTTGGAGTTGCGCACGAAGGGTTCCGTAGGTATTTTTAAGCACAATATAATGTGCGGGCGAAGCCGCGGGCGCAAGCTAGTTGTACAATATATTGCTACTATTGCACTAGGAAACGGATCAACAAGGGTCGCAATGTAATGCGACAAATGATGTAGTGTGAAAATTTCTTTAAAGAGACGAGGATGACAATATTTTAGATTTATTGTAACTGTTAAATTTGTGTACAAGTCATTGCTCAACTTATTATCAAATATGAGTTTGGTTACAAGAGAATAAATTATTATTATTTATTATGTAATCAATAGTGTTATTTAAGCTAGTGCTATTCAGTGGGTTAAAGTTAGATTAGTTAAGAGATAATGTGCGATTTATCGGACAAATCTTTACATCAAAAGGGAAACTCAAAGAATTGAGCGAAAAGTAAGTGATTTTTATTAAATTTAATCTTGCTTATAGTCTAGTCAACAAGTGCTTTTTTAACGAAAACCTGTTTAACTTATTTTTTTAAAGAATAAAAATTTAATTTATTTAAAGAAAATTATGGTTTTATATGGCACAAGAGAAATACATAATCTGTGAAAATAACTAACTAACTATCACCATTACGACATGAGATACAACGTGGAGCCTGGTGACAGACAGACAGACAGCGGAGTCTTAGTAATAAGGGTTCCGTTTTACCCTTTGGGTACGGAACTCTAAAAGATTATTTTAACCAAATAAAATAGAATATTAAGGAATAAAAAATATAGTTATAAATATAGATCTGTGATTCGTCCGTTTGAATTGGATCAAATAAGTACGGAGTGGATTTGTATAAATTGTAGCTACTTTCAAAAAGATATTGACGAGAATTTGTTGATCCGAATGGAGCCACTAAATCACATACATATGGTATTGGATTAACAAATCGGGTATGGATCAACAAAAAACTGATCGTACGGAACGCTGGATCAAACAACTCCTAGAACGGATAACTATATATATATATATATATATGTGTATGTATGTATGTATGTATGTACAAGAATTGCTCGTTTAAAGGATAAGATTAAATTTCGTTCTTTGTACATCAAATATTAATCAAAGAAGGATTCGATATACGGAAGGAATTTACGCTATTCGTGTACATCTTCTGGCGTATCCTCCCACGATCTCACAGAAGACCGGCGTAAAGTAGAAGTGTTACACTTCTGTGTTTCGTCTGGTGAATGAGGTAGTCGGGGCCCACTTTATTTAAAGATGGCAACGCATTTGCAACGGGTGTTGCAAATGTCCATGGGTTCAAGTTCGAGTTCCTTTTAACTATTTTTATTTTAGTTGGACACATATTGCTTGGTAAAAAGAAATAAATAACATAGATAGTTTTTTCTTTTTGTGCGAACATAGACCACTGCGACCTAGAAGACTTCTTAGTATTCCCTTCGAAAACATTGTACCCCTTACTGTACGATAACATTATACTGTTTTTTGTTAGAACGTTTTACATCCTACATATATTACGTTCGTATTATATGTAAAACGTTCTTACAAAAATTTATGTATGTGAATGGATATCTATACATATAATATATACAGCGTGTCGTTACAACTGCGACAATAAATTAACACACATATAGAGGATAACTTTTAAAATTGTATTAAACATTTACATACTTTAAACATCAATATTCACCGAGTTATAAAATTTTCTAAAACAAACAATTTTAGAACACCCTTACGTATAAAACTGTAACGTAAAGTTTATTTGTAAAGGTCACAAAGCATATGAATGGGTTGAATGAATTTAAAAGAGATAAAAAATACTGTTAGAAGGAGAGTCTTGTAACGCGACGCTGTGGCAACGAATGAAAAAGTTGTAGCTGTATAGGATGTTACAAATTTTGTTTTTTTTTTTTTTTATTTAATTAATTTGTTTGAAAATTATTTTTTTTAATTATGTTTTTTTTTATGATTATTGGCAAGTAGCGTTATATGGTGGTAGAGCCATGCAGCAGCCTCGGCTGTTGCACGAATGGGCAGGCTCGTCTGGGTAAGTACCACGAGCTCACAGAAGACCGCCGGTAAGTAGAAGTATAATACTTTCACGTTTCGTCTGGTGAGTGAGGCGGCCGGAACCCCATTTTCAAAAGGCTGTCAACGCATCTGCCTCGGTGTAGCAGGTGTCCATGGGCGGCGGTATTCGCTTAACGTAAGGTGAACCGTCTGCTCGTTTGGCAGCTTTTCACATAAAAAAAGATGTGTGTTCATTTATTCTCGCGGTTGTAATAACACGCTGTATATATTTTTGTGACTGATAATATTTGTTATTGTTCAAAATTTGGACAATTTTGGTTCATTTTGTTTTAATTTACTGTAATTGATTGACTTAGATTGTGTTTGTATTAAGTATATTATTTGTGAAATATTTGCATGCCAATGAGGAGAAACATGTCTGTACTTTTACTTTTATCTATACTGGAATTCTTTATCCACCATATTTCTGCTAATAAAGATGATTTGATTTGATTTGAATAAAAATGTAACTCATCGTTGTCTGTACATAGAAGATATTTGAGAAAAACTATTATTGGGGGCATTTATCAATACACATTTAACAAAACACTGATTGTTAAAATTTTGGTCAGTTTTCTTTGCATGTTCAGTTCATCAGTTTTTTGTGTTACATGAAAAAAAAAATGATATATTTGGCATTCTGTTTCAAATGATATGATAATGTCATCCAAATTCATATCTGCGAAGCTTTACAATAATACTCGAATCAGATATTGATAATTTAGATAAAATCCAAATCGTCAGCAATTCATTTGGAAAATGATCGCTTAAATAGGTGATAAGCTATTCGTGAGGGCCTATACATTCGTATAGCCAAAATTGGCTAAACGTAAAATGAAATACTTGGTATGTTTTGCAAAATTATTCAATTATGCATATCTCCCTGATCCTCACTAATCTGGAATCCCTAAGGGATCTCGAATCTATAAGGGTATTAAAATGGCGGATGCATTATCACTTAACACTTCGAATATCGTATGAATTTCAGAAGACGACGACGACACTTTTTTTTTTAAAAAGTGGCGTCTACATTTCAGCGCCAATTGATAATAATCGACCGAGTTTCCAAGAAGAACGTTATTTTCTTTGTTTGAACGACATTCAACGAATAGAACGAATTATACGCAAATGTTGTATTTGGACTCATAATAATAGTCGCAGAGACAAGGTGTTAAAAAGATGATGATCGAGGCCACATGGTAAACATACATGTAAACAAGCATGAAACACGCAGCAAGCATTATTCCAAAAAAGCCGTGTTATGGCTTCGGCACTGTTTTTTTACTTATGATGATTAATTCTGATCCTTTTGATTTTTCAAAAGTTTCAAAACCGTTAACTACTTCGCTAAAGTGTGTTTCGCGTTAAATGGGTTAGTTAGATTAAAGAGTTAAGCAACTTGCAATTCAAGCATTAAAAAATATATTATAGCTCCTTAATATATTTCGATTATATTTAATATATGTCGATTATTTTAAAACGATATTCATCTCACTTAGAGGTAAAGGGTCACAGTTGTAGTTGTATAGGATGTTACAAATTTTGTTTCTTTTTTATTAAATTTGTTTATTTGAAAAATATATTTTTTAATTATGGATTTTTTTAACGTTTCATATTTTTTTATGATTATTGGCAAGTAGCGTTAGACGTGTGTTCATTTATTGTCGTGGTTGTAACGACAACCGTATATAATTTTAAGAGCAATGGCGACATCTCTCATTACAAATATTCATCTTTGAATGTTTGTGGTGAATGTATTGTGTGCTGTAAAGGATGCACATTAGTTGGCACCAAGCATTGCTAAAATGCAAAAGAACGAACGTATATAGATATCAAGATTTTTGCGCCGTGAGGTCATCGGCCGCAGGTAAAATCCCGCAGCGCCGAAATTTTTTTTGTTGTTGCGTTTTATCTTAAAGTTGAAACTATAAATGGTTTCCTCGGGAAAGCTTAATTCCAAAAAACATGTTAAGTTTAATTATTCCAATCTTCAATCCGCTAGAAATAATCGAAATTCAGCAAGACCTATATTTGCTACAGAATTGTTAGAATGAGAATTTAACAGGAAAACCTGAAATGTCGATGACAATTTTTGAAGCAGAATTCTGATTTCTGAACTTGTTTCTCCTATAGAAGACTTATTATTATTGGGAGGTATTTTTGGAGGATATTTCTCGTAATTAGATAAGTAGTGTTTATTTCTCGGTCAGTAAACTAATTCACCGACGAATTATTTTTATTCCTGAAAATCGTAGACTCGACGCTCATTTTACTTAAATTTATATTTTAGAAACTTGAAAGTACACTTCACATTGATTTTGAATTTGCTCATAATGAAATTTGCTTATAATTCGTAGCTCATATATATTAATAAACATTAATGAAATCAGGTTCGTGATGTACATAAAGGACATTATATGTCATTATTTATTTTTATTTTTTATATCAAATAACAATTCAAATAAAGATTCAATATAAGATCGACAGAAGGAGTTTTAGCTAATCGTGTTCATCTTCTGGGGTATCCTCTACCACGTTCACTTTACCGTCGTCCGATATTTGCATCTCACTCTTCGGACAGGCACCTGGGCAGTTGTAGTGTCTCCTGACCCTGAGCCAGTCGTAGAAGGTCACGTAGTCGAGCTGTCCCATCTCACCTTCGAAACTTTGAAAACGACGTCTTTGAAATCGAATCCGTTGAAATGGTATGCGAGACGTACTGCTTTCGTCACAATCGGCAGAAAAATCAGGCATTATCTATGTTGTGGATTTGAGTTCAAAAGAAATCTGTCCTTAAAAATTCCTTACATTGACGAGCCTATGTCAGTAATCTTCTCTATATTATAAAGAGGAAAGATTTGATTGTTTGTATGTATTGAATAGGCTCCGAAACTACTGAACCGATTTGAAAAATTCTTTCACTGTTGGGAAGCTACATTATCCCCGCTTGATATAGGCTATATTATATTTAAAAAAAAAATAGGGATCCTTACTAAAACTTCAATAATGTAACACAAAGTGTACAAAAATTACCTAAAATATTATTTACATCGCGTGCGCTGCGAAAACTATTGATGATAGAATAAAATAATGTAATACGAATTTGCAGAACACATCATTATTTCCAAAAAGTGTCGCGAGAGCATATGTCTAACTATTATAGTTATGTCACAATAAGTGTTCTTTTAAAATTTTGATTGAAATGCCGCCGCTAGAAAAGGCTCTTTATTTGTATCTTGGTATTAATCCTTATAAAAATAAATTACTTCATATTAAAGACTGTTTCAATAGCTTTATATTACTTTTCGAACTATTAAATTAGGACATTCCATTCGAAAGAAATCACAAGTTTAAAAATGTTAGTATTTTGTAATTTAACTATCCAAACAGCTTAGTGACTGACTTAGTAGTTCTTATAATTTTTCAATTACATTTATAGTGGTTATTCCTATTCAACAGCTTAATTTATTTTATCATTTTAAATTGCCCAAAAGGTCAAGATCTCATCTTTCTAGAAATAGAAGAACGAAAAGAACTTTAAATTGACAAAGAAAAACTACGAGTATAAAGCTAACTTTCTTCTACAGTCGTTGACAAATGATTTTAGCTTTTACATACTGAAGTTAATACGCCTAACAAAGGCGTATTAACTTCAGTATACATATATCAAAGGTGCATTTATTTCAGTATATACGAGTAAGATTGAATTTTGAACGCCGTCTAGTTTCCGCACCAATAGACATACCATCCTCCACGTTCTCCCACACGATGCGGACGTACTCATCGCGGTTGTATGTGGACTGCATGTGGAAGAAGCCGATGATGTGGAGCCACTCGTGCACGAGGATCGCTTGCCGGTAACAGTCATCCGCCAGGTTCAAGGTGTGCGGACCCCTCGACCACCAGTAGCCGACATACGCGTAAAAACCGTCCTGGTCGCTCTAGAGCAGTATGTACCAATACATACTTCTTTTGGTATGTTTGAAAATGATCAGAGAGCGCGACACCGACCCTCAAAGAGCGACATGCCGTGAAGCGTTTATTGTGTTGCGTTACTATGGATACCAATAACAACTTTTTGACATTAACCACCAGATGAAACGCAGGTAATTCCAAGTTGTTTAAATAAACCGTTATCAATTGCATTTTACGTCTTTACGCTAAACCAGTACTCTATAAATTGTTACAAACGTACACATATACTAATTTTTTTATCATTAATGAATTACCGTTCCGGTTTTAGTCGAATCTCATGAACGTAAAAGATAGTATTTGACGCATGTCATTTTTACAAATATAGTTAATAATAATTAAGCCTATGTTTAGTGAGGTAAGCAATTACGTTTAATAATATTTGTATGTAATAACATTACTGAGCATATGATGTTGTTTATACGTCGTAAGTACATTATCATTTCGAATCTCACTTCAATAATCAACTTAATTTTTTTATCACATGATATTTAACATTTGCTCACCTTGTAATAATTCTAAATATTTTTTTTTCATGTGACAAGTTGCCAAACGAGCAGACGGTTCACCTGATGTTAAGTGAATACCGCCGCCCATAGACATCTGCTACATCCGAGGGTTTGCAGAAGCGTTGACA